AAGGCAACTTGGTGTTTGATGTTGTGCATAGTGTAAAGAGAGACGTACAACTGAGCAACACGGGCTTTCTCTGCTCAGAAACAACCTAACAGGTATCACAATGGTGATTATCAGCTGTCTCTGCTAAACCAGGCTTCCTGCTTCAGGGTCTGTCACAAGAGTCACATGACTCTTGTGACAGAGCCTGCTTCGTTTAGACATTATCAAAGGAACAAAGATAAAGATATAAGACAAAGACATATAAAAAAAAAAATTTTTAAACTGTAAAACGCAGCACTGAAGCTGCAAATAAAGAGACTGAAGTTTCACAGATTTTGAGCCATAAACATCCTACAAAAAGATTGATTAATTTTCAGAGATTTTCTGGTGTAAACGTAGGTCCGCAAGACTTTGCCGAGTGTTCTTTTGCAAGGTTTTTCCACAGTTGTAACATCTCCCTCTGTATATATGTACATCTCCAAGCTCTTGTACTGGACTACAATAAAAACCGACACAATCGTACACTTGTGTCTTCAACCTAGCTGCAGTGGCCGCAGCGTAACACAGCAGATAACCCCCCCCTAAAAAAAGGTGCAAGGCCAGCACCAAAAGGTATAATAACCAACCAGCAGGTGAGTGGTTGGTAAGCAGACTTGTCTGCAAACACTCGCCAAGAATACCCTCTGAGAAATAGTGAAACTACACGGCAAAAAGTTCCATCTTTTGAAATGACTACGGCAATAAGGCACTACTTTGTTTTTCTGTTTTTTTTAAGTCAATGTTCACCATTTCCGGCTTTGGGTTGCACTTTCTCAAGTCATACTAGCGCTCAGCTAGTAGCTGGCAAATATTTGCACACAGGTCGATGACTTACGTGTAACTCATCGACCTGTCGGTGACTGTGGCAATCTGCTAGCGACCAGGTGCAACCACAGGGAAATTTCTGTTGCAACACCTGCTTTGTGATTGATTTCAACCTCCAGCAACCAATTGCAGAAAACACATTTTTCCCAAGCAAATGGTTGGTTGCCAGATTATTGCCAACTGTTCTCTAGGCCTGTGTGACTGCTTAGAGACCGATGAACACAGAGCTAATGAAAAGTTTTTCCAGCATTTACAACACCAGCACTTTTTACTGTGATCATAATTATTAGAATGATTTGGTGAAAATGTCGCACCTGGTGCCAATTTTAACCCTAAATTGCTCAGACCAGATTAGATTATCTGTTAAGTTCAAGTTAAAATGGCAACCTGCATCAGGTAATGTGATACTCAATCTGATTGTTCTTATAGCTGAGAAAATAGATACCCAAATGTGACCCTGACTAACTGCACAACCTTGAACACCAAATCAGAACCGTTTTTGACACTATAAATTGTAGAAACAAGACTGCAGTGCAATACTGGACACATTGGAGACAAATGTTCTTTAAAAGGCTGTGTGATAAATGTCAAACACTGACTGCACAGCATGATGATTAATAGCCTGACCATAGCAGCTGTGAGTAGGAAATGTTTGGCAGTACATTCACCTTTTTGCCACCTTGAAAGGTTTTGATACAACTATGAATATACAAATCGAGCCACACAAGTATTAGCAAACAGAGATACGTGACTTCCACAGCTTGTAATCAGAAGAGCTAGCAGGCCAAGGTATAAAAGCAACAGAGCAATAAGTAGCCTCGGCCTCTTGCAGACATTAGATCCAAGTCTGTTTAATGAACACCAACAGATTTAGACTCGGGGAAACACCGTGCTTCAAAAACAGAAGCAAAAGCAACTCTTAGAGCAGCATATAGTCAGCACACTGCTGAGGCAATCTCACAATAATCTATAAAAAGGAAGGAAGTATTTGTCAGATGATATCAGTCTGTGATTCAAAGCAGAACACTGTTTTCCGTCTTCAAATTTCAGTTTTAAAAGTTGTTTTTAAGGTTGGCAAAACTGTTTGTGATTTCTGCTCTTAATCTCACTTCACAGAAACATCCTGTCCAAAATCAAATAAAGTGACTGTCAACTGCCGAGTCGGCTAATTTGCAATTTCATGCACATCCTTTCTAAAATGCCAGATCATGTTGAGCCTGTAAAAGCCGAGTGATCTACCGAAGATTTAAATGTAATTTGAAGTGAAAAAAAAACACTAAGCTAAACTTAAAAAAGAAAAAAATCAGCTGGATTATGCAGAAGATAACCTGCTAGTGCTTGAGTTTAGAATTTATCTTTTTTAAAAAGGTTGCTCTCCATAATCTGCACTTCATACTTTCTGTGCTTTACCACAAGGTTAAATTTTTAGGTGGTGTAATTTTCTATTTGTGAACCTAGAACTTCTTCTTTCAGTTGTACACCAGCATTAAAGACATACTTTGACCTAGTCATCCTAAAAGCTGCCGTTTCAATATAGTGTGGTCGAGCATCTTTTAAACAAACTAAATCTTAATCCTTCAGTTCTTAATAACTTCGGACCAATTTCGTAACTACCATTTTTAATCACAAATTACAGAAATTCAGTTCTTTTGAAAAGCTTCACACATCTGCAGCTCACATTAACTGTGGTGTACCACAAGGTTCAATTTTAGGTCCTATGGTGTTTTCTGTTTTTATGCTTCCAGCTGGTCACTTT